GATACGAACAAGGTCACGGAACGGATTAAATTTGTAAGCCAAGGTTCCACTGTATTGTTCATGTAACCATAAGCATTTTATTAAACACATCACTACATCCAACTTCACTTACACTGTAATCACTTTTTTAAATGCTGAGACAAAATTTTGATTGCCATTTTTGGTAGACAGCAACCACCCAGGGAGGTACTACCGTCCTGCCAAGTGAGTATAAAACGAAAGCTTGTAATTGTTTTATACGATAGTAGGATTACTGGTGTCTTTTTTCTGTCTCATACACATGCAAGATTACAGGTATGTCTTGTTACTTCTACTTACACTTAGGTCACACTGCACATACATGTACACATTTATATACAAACTCATCTGAGTTTTCTTTGATTTTATCTTAATAATTCTTATTCTTATTGCTTTTCCTTTTATATCCATGGGGAAGTGGAATACGAATCTTTCCTCCGTAAGCCATGCATGTTGTAAGTCAACTAAAATGCCAGGAACAATGGGCTAGTAACCCCTTTTCCTGTATAGCCTACTCAAAACAAAAAGAAGAAAACCATCAAAGTGGGATGTTTGAATGTGCGTGGATGTTGTACAAATGATAGATGATTGTGGATGCTATGAATGAGAAGAAGCTGGATGTCCTGGCTTTAAGTGAAACAAAGCTGAAGAGGGAGGGAGAGTTTCAGTGGGGAGAAATAAATGGGATTAGGTCAGGGGTTTCAAATAGAGTTAGAGCTAAAGGAGGAGTAGCAATAATGTTGAAGGATAAGTTATGGCAGGAAAAGAGGGAATATAAATGTATTAATTCAAGGATTTTGTGAAGTAAAATAAGGGTTGGATGTGAAAAGTAGGTTATAGTACGCATTTATGCACCTGGAGAAGAGAGAAGTGTACAGGAGAGAGATTTTGGGAAATGCTGAGTGAGTGCGAGGGGAGTTTTGAACCAAGTGTGAGAGTACTTGTAGTTGGGGATTTCAATGCTGAAGTGCATAAAAATGTTGTGGAAGGGAGTAGTAGGTAAATTTGGGGTGCCAGGGGCAAATGAAAATGGGGAGCCTTTAATTGAGCTATGTGTAGAAAGAGGTTTAGTAATAAGTAATATATGTTTTATGAAAAAGAGGATAAATAAATATACAAGGTATGATAATAGCACGTAATGAAAGTCGTTTGTTAGATTATGTATTGGAGGATAAAAGGTTGATGGGTAGGCTTCAGGATGTACATGTTTATAAAGGGGCAACTGATATATCGGATCATTATTTAGTTGTAGCTACAGTTAGAGTAGGAGGTAGATGGGACGAAAGGAAAATGGAAACAAGTAAGAGAGAGGTGAAAGTGTATAAACTAAGGGAGGAGGAAGTTAAGGTGAGATATAAGCAACTATTGCCAGAAAGGTGGGCTAGTGCAAGCATGAGTAGTGGGGAGGGGGGGGGGGGTGAAGAGGGTTGGAATAGCTTTAAAAATGCAGTATTAGAATGTGGGGTAGAAGTTTGTGGCTATAGGAGGGTGGGTGCAGGAGGAAAGAGGAGTGATTGGTGCAATGATGAAGTAAAGGGTGTGATAAAAGAAAAAGATAGCTTATGAGGTTTTTACAAAGCAGAAGTGTTATATGAAGAGCAGAGTATAAAGAGAGTAAAAGAAAGGTGAAGAGAGTGGTGAGAGTGCAAAAGAAGAGCAGATGATAAGAGTGGGAGAGGCACTGTCAAGAAATTTTAATGAAACAAGAAAAAATTTTGGAGTGAGATAAGCAAGTTAAGAAAGCCTAGGGAATGAATGGATTTGTCTGTTAAAAACAGAGTAGGGAAATTAGTAGACGGGGAGCTGGAGGTATTGGGTAGATGGCAGGAATATTTTGAGGAACTTTTAAATGTCGACGAAGAAAGGGAGGTGGTCATTTCCTGCACTAGCCAGGGAGGTATAACATCTTTTAGGAGTGAACAAGAGCAGAATGTGTGTGTGGGGGAGGTGTGTGAGGCATTATGTAGAATGAAAGGGGGTAAAGCAGCAGGAACTGACGGAATCATGACAGAAATGTTAAAAGCAGGGGGGGATATACTGTTGAAGTGGTTGGTATTTTTGTTTAATAAATGTATGGAAGAGGGGAAGGTTCCTAGGGATTGGTAGAGCACATGTATAGTTCCTTTATATAAAGGGAAAGGGGACAAGAGAGAGTGTAAAAATTTTAGGGGAATAAGTTTACTGACTATACCAGGAAAAGTGTATGGGTAGGGTTATTATTGACGGAATTTGAGGTAAGACAGAATGTAGGATTGCAGATGAGCAAGGAGGCTTTAGAGTGGGTAGGGGATGTGTATACCAAGTGTTTACATTGAAGCATATATGTGAACAGTATTTAAAGGTAGGGAAGATTTCATTGCATTTATGGATTTAGAAAAGGCATATGTGTGGATAGGGAAGTAATGTGGCAATGTTGCAATGTTAAATGCTGTAAAGAGTTTTTATGAGGATAGTGAAGCTCAGGTTAGGGTGTGTAGAAGAGAGATGAGACTACTTCCCAGTAAAAGTAGGTCTTAGACAGGGATGTGTAATGTCACCATGGTTAATATATTTATAGATGGGGTTGTAAAAGAAATAAATGCTAGGGTGTTGGGGAAATGGGTGGGATTAAATTATGGGGAATCAAATACAAAATGGGAGTTTGCACAGTTACTTTTTGCTGATGATATTGTGCTTATGGGCGATTCTAAACAAAAATTGCCAAGGTTAGTGGATGAGTTTGGGAGGGTGTGTAAAGATAGAAAGTTGAAAGTGAATATAGATAAGAGTAAAATGATGAGGGTATCAAATGATTTAGATAAAGAAAAATTGGATATCACATTGAAGAGAAGGAGTATGGAAGAAGTGAATTTTTTCAGATATTCGGGAGTTGATGTGTCAGTGGATGGGTTTATGAAGGATGAGGTTAACCATAGAGCTGATAAGGGCAAAAAGGTCAGTGGTGAGTTGAGGTATATGTGGAGACAAAAAAATGTTACCAATGGAGGCAAAGAAGGGAATGTATGAAAGTAAAGTGGTACCAACACTCTTATATGGGTGTGAAGCTTGGGTTGTAAATGCTGCAGCAAGGAGGCAGTTGGAGGCAGTGATGTCCTGTCTAAGGCAACGTGTGGTGTAAATATTATGCAGAGAATTCGACGCGTGGAAATTAGAAGGTGTGGAGTTAATAAAAGTATTAGTCAGAGGGCTGAAGAGGGGTTGTTGAGATGGTTTGGTCATTTAGAGAGAATGGATCATAGTAGAATGACATGGAGAGCGTATAAATCTGTAGGGAAAGGAAGGTAGGGTAGGGGTTGTCCTCAAAAAGGTTGGAGGGAGGGGGTAAAGGAGGTTTTGTGGGCGAGGGGCTTGAACTTCCAGCAACTGTGCATGAGCATGTTAGATAGGAGTGAATGGAGACAAAAGGTTTTTGGGACCTGACGGGCTGTTGGAGTGTGAGCAGGGTAATATTTAGTGAAGGGATTCAGGGAAACCGGTTATTTTTATATAGCCGGACTTGAGTTCTGAAAATGGGAAGTACAGTGCCTGCACTTTAAAGGAGGGGTTTGGGATATTGGCAGTTTGAAAGGATGTGTAATAGGACAGTATATATATAATTGGGACCCTGATATTATATTCTATAGGGAGTTTATTATATTATTTCAGGTCACTTTTTATACTGTATCTTTATATATGCTTCTAAACTGTTGTATCTGGGCACCTCTGCAAAAACAGTGATTATGTATGAGTGAGGTGAAAGTGTTGAATGATGATGAAAGTATTTTCGTTCTGGGGATTTTTTCTTTCTTTTTGGGTCACCCTGCCTAGGTGGGAGACGGCCGACTTGTTGGAAAAAAAAACAAAAATTAACATAACGGCTATTTTTCCTCCAAACGTTCTTTAATTCATTTTAGATTACTTTTTTCTAAGACACCAGTTTCAAGAATGTAACTACAGTTTTAACTGATGGTCAACTGTATCTCAGAGCAAACAGCTGACAGTAAACTAGAGCAGCTTATTACCTTGTGGCAGACTGATACCAGGTACTATTGCAATCTGACAGTTTGATACTATTAGTGATGACACCACTAAAATTTAACAGCTAGATTACACAACTGCCAAAAACTTTAATAACACTGTTAAAGACTTACTTGCATGTGAATGTTATATCCAGTAAACAATTACAAATACTCATGCAATACTGTCATCGCTACAATTCTATAGCTCCATAAAATACGCATTACTCATCTGATTTAAATTCAGTGTAAATTATCTGTATTTGCCTAAGATTAGATGCTATGACTAAAAGTAAGTCGTATGAAAGTTCTAGGATTAGTCTGCCTGATATGCTATCCATAATAAGTAGCTTTCTTTAGGATTCACTATTGGTATGAGCCCCATCCATTCTCTGATCTGACATTCAATTGTTTCAAATGTTTTTATTATAACTGTAGCAACACTAATCAAATGTACCATAAACTTTATGTATGGTATGTCCAACAACAAAAAAGAAATAGAATTTATTTTATTTAAGTTTTTTTTAAGTGAATGAGGAAATTTAACAAGGTTACATGGAATTAGAAGAATTAAGTGCATTAAATATGCCTATGAGTTCTCTTGCAGCTCTAAAAGTGCTTCAGAGCAGAGTTTATATTTGTACCGTTTTGTGTGAACTTAACCATACTATGCATTATTAAGTTCGTACTTTTAATGAATAGGGGTGTGTGCTGTCTAGTATCTTGAGTAATCATTGTCTTTGGATTAATTTACTTTAGTGAATCCCCAGGCACAAATACCGTAAGTGATGTAAGGATAGACTAGAGAACAGTACATAGGTAATGTTGTTGAGGAACAAACCAATAAGAACATCAGCAGCCTTATACAAGAAAACTTTCTAATGAAGCTCAGATAAGGCTTTCTCTCGCATCAACGAGATGTTTGTAACTAATCCCACAACCACCACTGATATTACACGTTACATATAGGAAACAAAAATTTCTTACCTTGTCCCTGAGCACACCCAAAATGTGCAGAAACGTGGAACGATGATTGTTCCACTTTAAGGAAAGTAGCTCCTCCATGTTAACCTGTAAATAAAGTGATAGATTAATAAATACTTGTATTAATTTCTGCAATTTTTATTCTGAACCAAAAATTCTTTATGTCCTATGTTCAACTGTGTGCAACTGGTGGTCACAGTACTATGAAATACAAACAAAATGCAGCCTCTCCTCACTTAACAACGGAGTTCCGTTCCTAAGACCATGTTGTTAAACGAATTCATCATTAACCCTTTGACTGTTTTCGACGTATAAATACGTCTTACAAGCCAATGTTTCTGACGTATATATACTCAATAATTCTAGCGGCTTCAAATCAAGCGGGAGAAACCTGGTAGGCCCACATGTGAGAGAATGGGTCTGTGTGGTCAGTGTGCACCACAAAAAAAAATCCTGCAGCACACATTGCGTAATGAGAAAAAAAAACTCTGATCGTCTTTTTGGAATAAAACGCCGGCTTTGAGGTGTATTTTCGTATAGTATTTATCATTGTATTCGCGTTTTCATGGTCTTAGGTGATAAAATGGAAAACAATTACAGAAATAGAGATGATTTTCATTACTTTGACGATGAAAACGACCTTGAAACTGAGCTCAAGTAGCGGAAATGTTCGATTTTTACCAATGTTCAGGAGTAAATAAATCATACCACACGTCCAATACACGTCAACTGGGAGTCTTATTTCTTTCACTAGTGCACTGATATTATTTATACCATTTTTACAATAATGCAGTAGTCTGCAACAGTAAATTTGTATTTTTTGTATGAATAAAAAATCAAAAATAGAAAGCAATAATAATAGAAGAGGGGCCTAGAGATGTGACTAATGAACAGAGCATATGTATTTAGTGCCACAAATTTTCTACCTTGTTTATTCTGGACCCTATTTTGAAATTGGCATTTTTTTTTAGTTTGCGTGAAATTGGCCAAATTGCCCAATTTCTGACCACCATACTGGTAGTCCAAATAGTAAATGGGAGGTTTTTTGTACTCACTGATGATAAAATGGAGTTCTAAAGAAATAGCTATGAGTTTGGTCAACTGGAACAATGGAATTGGCTGAAAATAGGGCGCAAAGTCGGCGAAATCCCCGATACGCATATGTCGCCGAGACCGCTAACTTCGCGGGAGCATAATTCCATGAGTTTTCGACCAAATTTCGAACTTTTGGTGTCATTACCATCGGGAAAAGATTTTCTATCATTTCATAAGAAACAATAATTTTTTTTTTTTTAAAATTGAGCGACATAGAATGACAGTTTCAGAGAGGGGCCTGAAACAGTCAAAGGGTTAAGTGAAGAGCATACTATAATGGTAATTGGTTTGTGTCAATCATCTTTGATATCGTTTTAATGTCAACTTGCACAATTTATAACATTTCTGGTATATTTTTAAATGTTTATACAGGTCCTCCATCACAAATCCGGCATCATTGGGACCTGTAGTGTGCCGGATTACGTAAGAACATAAGAAAGAAGGAACACTGCAACAGGCCTACTGACCCACGCGGAGCAGGTCCATGTCCCCCCCCCCCCCCGGATTAGACCAATGACCCACCCCCCGGATTATCCCAATGACCCACCCAGTCTGGTCATCCCCACTCAAGGATGGAGCACTGTACCAGACCCAGCAGTACAAGCTACTCAGGTCCAACTCACACCCACTCATATATTTATCTAACCTATTTTTAAAACTACACAATGTTTTAGCCTCAATAACTGTACTCGGGAGCTTGTTCCACTCATCCACAACTCTATTACCAAACCAGTGCTTTCCTATATCCTTCCTGAATCTGAATTTTTCCAACTTGAAACCATTGCTGCAAGTCCTGTCATTTATACTGATGAAAACTCACACTCACACGAGCTTTTAAATCTCTGCACAAAATTCAATTTAAACCAGCAAATAATAGAGCCTACTAGACTGGAGAATACACTAGACCTCATCTTCACTAACAATGTTGATCTGATAAGAAATGTCACCATATCAAAAACAATATACTCAGATCACAACATAATTGAGGTTCAGACATGTATGCGTGGAGCCCCAGACTGACATAATGAGACTAGTCACGACGGAGCATTCACCAAATTCAACTTCAATAACAAAAACATAAAGTGGGACCAAGTAAACCAAGTCCTAACCGATATAAGCTGGGAAGATATACTAAGCAACACAGACCCCAACTTATGCCTAGAACAGATTAACTCGGTGTCACTCGATGTATGCACAAGGCTTATTCCTCTAAGAAAAAGGAGGAGTAGATGTAAAATAGAAAGAGAACAGCGCTCCCTTTACAGGGCGACGGAAAAGAATAACAGAGCGGCTAAAAGAGGTCAATATATCTGAAATGCGTAGGGAGACACTGGTCAGAGAAATAGCAAGCATCGAACTTAAGCTAAAAGAATCCTTTAGGAGTCAGGAATCGCGGGAAGAAGTAAAAGCCATAAATGAAATCGAAAGAAACCCAAAGTATTTCTTCTCCTATGCCAAATCAAAATCGAGAACAACGTCCAGTATTGGGCCCCTACTTAAACAAGATGGGTCCTACACAGATGACAGCAAGGAAATGAGTCAGCTACTCAAGTCCCAATGACTCAGTTTTTAGCAAGCCGCTAACCAGACCGAGAGTCGAAGATCAAAATGAATTTTTTATGAGAGCGCCACAAAATTTGATTAACACAAGCCTATCCGATGTTATCCTGACGCCAAATGACTTCGAACAGGCGATAAATGACATGCCCATGCACTCTGCCCCAGGGCCAGACTCATGGAACTCTGTGTTCATCAAGAACTGCAAGAAGCCCCTATCACAGCCTTTTCCATCCTATGGAGAGGGAGCATGGACACGGGGTCGTCCCACAGTTACTAAAAAAAACAGACATACCCCCACTCCACAAAGGGGCAGTAAAGCAACAGCAAAGAACTACAGACCAATAGCACTAACATCCCGTATCATAAAAATCTTTGAAAGGGTCCTAAGAAGCAAGATCACCACCCATCTAGAAACCCATCAGTTATACAACCCAGGGCAACATGGGTTTAGAACAGGTCGCTCCTGTCTGTCTCAACTATTGGATCACTACGACAAGGTCCTAAATGCACTAGAAGACAAAAAGAATGCAGATGTAATATATACAGACTTTGCAAAAGCCTTCAACAAGTGTGACCATGGCGTAATAGCGCACAAAATGCGTGCTAAAGGAATAACAGGAAAAGTCGGTCGATGGATCTATAATTTCCTCACTAACAGAACAGAGAGAGTAGTCGTCAACAGAGTAAAGTCCGAGGCAGCTACGGTGAAAAGCTCTGTTCCACAAGGCACAGTACTCGCTCCCATCTGTTCCTCATCCTCATATCCGACATAGACAAGGATGTCAGCCACAGCACCGTGTCTTCCTTTGCAGATGACACCCGAATCTGCATAACAGTGTCTTCCATTGCAGACACTGCAAGGCTCCAGGCGGACATCAACCAAATCTTTCAGTGGGCTGCAGAAAACAATATGAAGTTCAAGATGAGAAATTTCAATTACTCAGATATGGTAAACATGAGGAAATTAAATCTTCATCAGAGTACAAAACAAATTCTGGCCACAAAATAGAGCGAAACACCAACATCGAAGACCTGGGAGTGATTATGTCGGAGGATCTCACCTTCAAGGACCATAACATTGTATCAATCGCATCTGCTAGAAAAATGACAGGATGGATAATGAGAACCTTCAAAACTAGGGAGGCCAAGCCCATGATGACACTCTTCAGGTCACTTGTTCTATCTAGGCTGGAATATTGCTGCACACTAACAGCACCTTTCAAGGCAGGTGAAATTGCCGACCTAGAAAATGTACAGAGAACTTTCACGGCGCGCCTAACGGAGATAAAACACCTCAATTACTGGGAGCGCTTGAGGTTCCTAAACCTGTATTCCCTGGAATGCAGGAGGGAGAGGTACATGATTATATACACCTGGAAAATCCTAGAGGGACTAGTACCGAACTTGCACACGAAAATCACTCACTACGAAAGCAAAAGACTTGGCAGACGATGCACCATCCCCCCAATGAAAAGCAGGGGTGTCACTAGCACGTTAAGAGACCATACAATAAGTGTCAGGGGCCCGAGACTGTTCAACTGCCTCCCAGCACACATAAGGGGGATTACCAAGAGACCCCTGGCAGTCTTCAAGCTGGCACTGGACAAGCACCTAAAGTCAGTTCCTGATCAACCGGGCTGTGGCTCGTACGTTGGTTTGCGTGCAGCCAGCAGCAACAGCCTATTTGATCAGGCTTTGATCCACCAGGAGGCCTGGTCACAGACCGGGCCGCGGAGGCGTTGACCCCCGGAACTCTCTCCAGGTAAACTCCAGGTATACACCTCAATCAAATCCCCCCAAATTCTATGCCTTTCTAGAGTGCAGATTCAGGGCCCTCAGTCTATCCTCATAGGGAAGATTTCTGATACATGGGATCATCTTTGTCATCCTCCTTTGTACGTTTTCCAGAGCGAAACTGTTGTCCAGAGGGCTGAGGAAGTGTTGTTGAGGTGGTTCGGACATGTAGAGAGAATGGAGCAAAACAGAATGACTTCAAGAGTGTATCAGTCTGTAGTGGAAGGAAGGCAGGGTAGGAGTCGGCCTAGGAAAGGTTGGAGGGAGGAGGTAAAGGAGGTTTTGTGCGCGAGGGGCTTGGACTTCCAGTCGGGCAATGCGTAAGCGTTTATAAGGAAAAACAATAGTTTTTAAACTTACGTGCTTTTGGAGTGAGAAAGTAACTTTATGAAGGATTCTGGAAACTGGCAGCCGGTTCATCTGAGAGAAGACAGTGCCTGCACTCTGAAGGAGGTTAATGTTCATTTACAAACGAATTTAAAGCCCCTTCTGGAAAACCCGTGATGAGTATGAGGTAAATTTTCTTTTTGACCACCCTGCCTTGTGGAATCGCGCATGTGTTAATAAAAAAAATATTTGTAGACAATAACATTGACAAGGGGTGGACATTTCCTTCAGGTGTAATAATTTAACCGTTT